AAGATATGCATATAAAAAACAGATATGAGGAGTTCCATAATAAAACGTAATAACTCAAATTTTAATTTTTTCGAATATCGTATGGGATGTAAAGGTATCCACACACCTACGCGATTCTGTCGCAACGAATCCGCACCGTTTTTGATGCTACAGACTAGAGATGGGCAAAAGTCACGCATGAGCGTGAGCGGATTTCAGTGAAAAATCACGTAATATCCGTGATCGTGCGTGCCTGAAATTTTCGCGTGCGTGAGTTAGATTTTCGTCAATCACGTCATTTTCACATATGTATGTATGTACTTATTTGTATTTTAATCTAAAATAAATTCGTAAACTTACTGTTTAACTTTCACTAGAGTGGCAACATTTATTCTTTTTCCTTTGAAATTGTTGGAGGCATTCTGTAATATTCATTTGTACATCTGCAGCTTTTCGGTTTGCCTACAGTTAAGCGCAAACTTTAAAGAAATTGCATGTCAATGTCACTCAAGTATGTGTTGTAACAGGGATAGTACCGGGCGACTTTTTCCAAGCAATTGCTTTGAATTAGTTTTCATAACGCCTAACAGAGTAAATCTTGATCTCTTTTTGTGCTGGCAACAAAATCGAATCAGGCCGCCGATGAACAGCTGAAAAGTGCTACTATTTTCACATCTATTCCACTCTTACTTAGGTAGACTGCACTTGAAGAAAAGAGCGCTCGCCCTCAGCACGATTCCCAAATTCTGGATGATGACATTCCTTCTACCTCGTAAAGGGCAAAAACCCGTGCAACTTTTGACGAATTCAAAGATGCGACAAATGAATCTGCAGAAACAGTTTTTGAAGAAATTAATACGGAAATACAGATGTATTTGAAAAAATCGGAAAACAAAAGTTGTAATGATGTTTTAAAATTTTGGGAGAAAGCTAAAGATTTGCCCCTTCCTAGAAGTCTTTCAAGGCAAATTTTAAACATAGCAGCTAGCTCAGCAACTGGTTTCTAGAATTCGAGTTTTTTCTGTTTCAGTTTCAGGCAGAATTCTGGAAGAAAGACGTACACGACTGCTTGGTGAAAACCTCGACAAAATTCCTATTGTCATTTTAATATTACAAACGTTGAATAAATATTGATACCAATTCTTTTTTATACACTTAGGTCTCTTTTTATGCGGATTATTTCGCAGTAGAGATTTTGCTTTTTTGAGAGTTTTTATTACTTTTTTCAGTGTGTAAAAGACAATGGCGCGTATTCATAGTCCAGCAACTAAGTCGAAACTAACAAAGTTGCAACTTAAATTTAAGTACCAACTTAAAATTTACTGCTCCTATGAGCATTTCAGACTTCTACTAAGTAGTTTCGACTTAGTTTACGATATTACAAAACAAGTGCGAAAATGTATCGATTTTTCTTTACGATATTTTGGAAAAATTAAATTTTTATTAAATAATGTCAAATTTGATCATCCGTTTATGTAATTTTTATTTTCATTGTATGATTATGCAAAAGAATAAGATATTATTTTTTTGTTGATTGTGTGAAATAGCCAGAACAACCGCAGTGATGTGAAGTCGATGTTTATCGAAAGCATGCTGTGAAACATACAAATAGTAGATATCTAAATGTTATGCACAAATTTACTTAAAAAGAACTAGCGTGAAACTGACTTATTATTTGAGAATTTATCTAAATTATTCCAATTATAAAATTGTGAAGTAGCTTTATTCGAATTGTAATACGCATTTAATTTCATCTTCCGATTAAAATGGATCGATCTTTGTAAATTTTAATTGGAGATAATTCAATATTATCAAAATCACCCTCTACCAACTTAATTTTTACATATTTCGTCTGTTTTCCCTTAATTTGATAAAATACTTCTTCCTAGTTACGACTTAGTTGCAGCTGCAGCCGAAACTAAATTTTAAATTGGTACTTAGCCAGAAAAGTCGAAACTAAGGCGACTATGAATAGCTTTAGTTGTGACTTAGAATAGTTTCGACTTAGTTGAGTACTAAATATGACTATGAATATGCGCCAATGCTTCTGATAAATAATTTGTCTTTGTATTCTTACATAATAATAATAGATTGGCGCTTACACATAAGTGGAGCTTCTGAGTGCCTTGATGTTGTCACACAAAGGGGAGGGACCTACAGTTTTACGCCGACTCCAAACGGCGATTGTATTTTTACGAGAACCTGTTTTTCATGGCTGAAATACACTCGGAGGTTTGCCATTGCCTGCCCAGGGGCGACCGTCGTTAAGAAAAAACCTTTTTTCTAAATTTTTTTTATGTATTCTTACATAATTCATGTATTTATTGTGGTATTTTTATTATTTTTTTTTTAAATACAGATAAAATTTTATTTATTTCATTAATGTTCGGTTTTACATGGAATAATAAGTGTTGAAGTTAAGAAATAAATAGTTTTTTTGCTCAATAATGCCTCACTGGATTTTTTTATGCGGTTTTTTAGAATTTATGCGGTTTTTTTAAATGCTGGAACGCATCCCGTTTTTGTATGAAAGTAAATAACTTTTTAATGCGGATTTTTTTATGCGGCTTTCTGAGGAACGCATGTACCGCATAAAAAGAGATTTAAGTGTACTTGTAATAGATAAATAAGTATGTATATCGGAAATTTGTTAAAATAATAATAGTGCCTTCAGCCCTTGCTAGGCGTTTGGCCAAGCTTTTGTAATAATACTTGTGTGATAAAAGGCTATTTATATGAAATACTATTTATATAAAGTTTAAATTTCAAAAAAATGTCCGTGAGAAACCGTGCGTGAGCGTGCGTGATTGAAAAAATAGGCGTCGTGAGCGTGCGTGAATGTGATTGAAAAAAATATAGCAGGACGTGAGTGTGCGTGCTTTAAAAAACCATCAACATGAGCGTGCGTGAACGTGAGCCAAAATTACTTACGTGCCCATCTCTACTACAGACGTTACTGCTTCGAAAAGGCAAGTACGCACCCATCTGTGCGATTTTATCGCAGCAAAATCTGTCAATTTATAGACAACCAAAAAGTATTTATCAACAAAAATAAAATTCTTAACTTTTCTACATCAAATATGTTTTGTTTTCTTACGTTCGATTTTGTTTTAATATTATAAAATCCTTCCATTGACCTTTTTCGTTCGCAAAACAAGGAAGTCTGCGATTTCGGTACGACCAAAAGAAGAACTGTGAATGTTCGAATAAATCGCTGCAGCAAAATCGTACAAGTGTGTGGTTCCTCATTTAAACCTATAGTCGGCATTGTTGTGATTTTTGTCAGAACAGATTCGCACCGACAGAATCGCGTGGGTGTGGGTACTACATATTAAAATCTAAAGACTGTACCGAAAAGAAACTGCACACTTTCCAATTCCGATTTATTGAAAAGTAGGCGCTTGATGAAATTTTTTTGGGTGCCGTTAGAAAGCGAGAAAGTTTGTCATTCAGCCGTGCTCCCATTTCCACTTACTTTTGCAATTTGCGTTTTTGTCAAAATCGTACGTTTTTATTTTTGGGTGCTCCTAAATTCGCAACTTGTTGTTATCGATAAGTGCCATTTTCCACATCGTTTCCAGCATTCCTGAAAGCCATCCCTTGAAGGTATGCAACAATTATCGCACATGTTTCTTCCGCACCAAATCGTAAATCTTCGTTGCTTCGATAAATTTTCGTTGCCCAAAACGGAGATAGGTATAATAAATAGTTAATTAAACAAATAAAATCAACATAAGAAGTAAATTTTAGGACGCAAAAAATATCGCAAAATATAATGGGCATAATCCGAAATAAATTTAAACTAAGCTAGCTTGTTATTTATGTTAATTTTGCCATTTACTTTTCATTCCACCGTCTCACCGGCAACCGATTTGAAACCGCAAAAATTTTCCGATTTGCGAATATTGGAGCACGTAATTTTGCGATTTGAAAAGTAAAACGAAAAATATTTGCGATTCTGAAAATGGGAGCACGGCTAATTGTTTTTTTTTTTAATTCTATAGTTTACGCGATGGGGTAAAATTGTTTACAATTAGTGCACTGAAAAGGAATTTCGTATCGACACACATAGGGGTATTTGACCGAATTAGGCGGCCAAAATAATTTGTATTAAAATTTTAACTCTAAGGGCGGGATTCACAGTGCTTAGTTAAACGATTCTTAACTTAACCACCAACAAGGGTTTAACTTTGAATTTATATTCAGAGTAGAGATGGGCGCGGGATATCGGGACCCGCGGTACTGATTTCAAATTGGACGGGCGGGAGGGACCAAAATCCTTTCCAGACACTCCCGACAAAACCGAAACCTCAGCAAATTCGTAACATCTTCCTTAAAAACGTGTGAAATATTGACTTTTTTATGTTTTATAGGGGCAAAACGAACAGCAAAGCAAAACAAAATAATCGGAAGTTGCCAGATCTATCATTATTTTATATTTTTTGTTATTTATAATTAACTAGCCGGCCATGTCTGCGCGAGGCTTCGCTATG